AGAGAGAGAGAGAGAGAGGGAGAGAGGGGGGGAGGAGACCTACAGAGAGAGAGAGGGGGGGAGGAGACATACAGAGAGAGAGAGAGAGAGAGAGAGTGAAAAGAGACATTACCATGTCTGTGTTGTTTTCAATGGTCTTTCAGTACCCCAGCGTGCCGGCCCAGGGCCGCCTGTCTTACATCATCACGTTTGTTTCACCCATTGTTTCCCCGTGGACCACAAAGAAAACTGCTGTCTAGGACACTGTGTTAACTTTGTGAGGACTTTTAATAATAATAATAATAATAATAGATAGCATTTGTATAGGACTTTTACTGTCCTGTAGACGTGTCAGTCTGAGCGTGTGTGTGCTTATATAGCGAGAGTTTTTGTTTGACGGAAATTGTTTTCTGTTTCGCCTCTTAACAAAACCTTAGTCTTGTCTCGTAAGTCTTCGATTCATCTGTCTCCTCTTGACCAGAATTTTTAATCAAGAAGGGGAGATATTTTCTGATGAACCTGTGGAAAAAATACATGATCCATCTTCCTGGGACTATGTTGAAAGGTAACTGAATGATGTTACTTTTTAAAATATATAATGTAGATTTTACTCTCATCATTATAAAAATATTTAATCCAAGGCCATTCCTCCTTACTTTTTGAACAGGCCTCATGTATCTGAAACAATTAATTTATTGAAGATATTAAACATTTATTATTTTTACTCCCTTTCAATCCGCAGCTTACACCCACTTTTGATGTTTTTAAAAATTGTGTGACTAATTATATCATTTGAACATTATTGCTGAGTAATTCTGGCAGTTATTCTTTCGATTGGAAGTAGAAACTTGTTCTGTTTCAAGCTCTGATGAGTCACTGCACTCCCAGTTTTTGTGATTACTCTAGTGCCTCTTGTTTCTGTTTTTTGAAAAGGTTGTATACTCCCGCCTTCTTGTGGAGAACTTTCTCTCCTTGAAAAATAATATTTGTAACTGACTGAAGCTTGGATGCCTTAAAGTTTCTCCCATTCCACTTTAGAAATTAATTATTTGGGGG